TTGTCTCTGCTGTGTAAAATCCCCTCAACCTTTGATTTCTCTTTTATTTCTCTGTCTCACCCCATGGAAATTTCTCAGCAATGCCTCAAATGTGGCTGATGACACAGAGACCAAACCCATGGCATGGCTCCATTTTTGTGGCATTTTGGAATTTCCACCTGGATAGGGAGCTCCAGGAATTTACAGATGAGGAAAATCCAAGCCACTGTTTTATGGGATTAGTGGATGGAGGAAATGATACAAAAACCCCCTTTTCCTTTACCTGGTGGGTTTGGATCCAGCTCAGCTCAGGTGTTCCCAACGTGGTGGAAATCAGGAAGGTGTGAAGGGATTTTGGAGCCCTCATCCAGAGTCATGGAATGGTTTGGGTTGGAAGAACCTTAAAGACCATCCAGTTCCAGCCCCTTCTGCTTGCAAGAAACAGCTTTGACCCAAATTTTGAGGTTCTGCCATCTTCTCCTTGCCTTGGAGTTGTTGTTTTTCCACAAAGGAAAGTTACCCTGACTTCCCTGCCACGCTTTGTTCAGTTCTAGGCAGGAGAAACTGCTGAAAATTCAGAAATAAAAATAGTTTATTGAGGTTATGAGCGACTAATTTGGGCTGAAACGTCGCTCTGGTCGTGCCCATCCACGTTTTTTTTTGGTTTTTCCCTTGCCTGAAAAAGATCTGCATAAAATATTGAGGTTTTTTTTTTTTTTTTTTTGTGTGTGTGTAAGCATTGTTTGTGCTGTTATTTCCACACACACAAGAAAAATAAAATAAAATAAAGCTCAGCTCGTGCCTCAGAGTTTAATTCTGTGGCAGTTTCCAACTGGTTCATCCTCGTGATTCCAGCTGGGTCTTGCTGATTCCTGGGAATTTGCTGAGGCTTTCCCAAGGGAAGGAGAGCTGCTCACTAAAGAGAAGTGCAAAAAAAAAAAAAAAAAAAATTAAAAAAAAAAATCCCATCTTGATTAAAGCCATGGAGCATCCTTAAACCAACAGAAGCCAATGAATAATGTAAATAAATTAAATAATAAATGAGTAAATCAAATCAAGCAGCTGGATGCTTTAAGATGTGGTTAGGACTAAAGAACAGCAGCCAAAATGATGTTTTTCCTAGAAAAATACCAAATTTTCCATTCTCTCCTAAAAAAAAAAAAAGTTGCCTCCCTCAATGGAAGAAACTTCTCCTACCCTGTGGGACTGAGGGTAAATAGCTCAAATTTAGGCTTTTTTTTCCCCCCCTCTACTTTGAAAAGACAACTTAATAAAGAAATAAATTTTAATTATTTTCCAAGTTTTTGGAAGAGTTAATTCTTTTCCAGGTGGTGGCAGTGCTCCTTCAGCACGGGAATTGCAAGTCCCAAAGAGTTGTGTTGTTCAAGGAGCAACTGAATTCCCAAAATTGAGTCTGAATTCCCAAAATTGAGTCTGAATTAACAGAATTGAGTCTGAATTCCCAAAATTGAGTCTGAATTAACAGAATTGAGTCTGAATTAACAAAATTTAGTCAGAATTTTAAAAATTGAGTCTGAATTGATGACACTGAGTCTGAATTAGCAAAACGGAGTTGGAATTAACAAAATTGAGTCTGAATTTTAAAAATTCAGTTGGAATTACCAAAATTGAGTCGGAATTAATGAAACTGAGTCTGAATTTAAAAAATTGAGTCAGAACTAACAAAATTGAGACTGAATTTTAGAAATTCAGTCAGAATTACCAAAACTGAGTTGGAATTAATGAAACTGAGTCTGAATTTTTTTTAAAAAATGAGTTGGAATTAATAAAATTCAGTCTGAATTTAAAAAATGAGTCAGAATTAACAAAATCGAGTCAGAATTAATGAAACTGAGTCAGAATTACCAAAATTGAGTCTGAATTTTAAAAATTCAGTGGGAATTGCCAAAATTGAGTCAGAATTAATGAAACTGAGTCTGAATTTAAAAATTTGAGTTGGAATTAACAAAATTGAGTCTGAATAATAAAAAAAAAGAGTTGGAATTTTAAAAATTGAGTCTGAATTACCAAAATTGAGTCAGAGTTACCAAAATTGAGTCTGAATTTTAGAAATTGAGTCTGAATTTACAAAATTGAGTCTGAATTTTAAAAATTGAGTCAGAATAAACAAAATTGGGTCTGAATTAACAAAATTGGGTCTGAATTCACATTTTCACCTCTAGTGGATGGAGCAGAGTGAGATTTTTTGAGTATGTTCAAAGTGTGGAATCTCTAGAACCTTCCAGGACCTAAAGGGGCTCCAGGAGAGCTGGAGAGGGACTGGGGACAAGGGATAGAAATCCAGATGGAAAAAAAAAAAAAAAAAAGGGATTTTGGGGTTGTGTCAGGAGCATTTTGTAAAAAAAAAAAAAAAAAAAGGGATTTTGGGGTTGTGTCAGGAGCATTTTGTATTCATCAAAAAAATCTGTGCCCTTGAAAGGTTGAAATCTTTGCCTTGGGATGGTGGCTGATCCTGAATAATTCTCCCAAAAATCAGGATCATCCCAACCCTGGGGTTCTTGATGTCGGTGGGGGTTGGGTTTTGGAGAGTTTGAGGTTCATGGAATGAAAATTGAGGTGAGTGAGATGCAGGAATATTTTGCTCCTGGAGATTGAGGCTGGAATTCCAGGCTAAAATGCTCCTCGATTGAGGAAGATGATGGGAAATGAGATTTTCCAGAGTTGCTGTGTCCCTGTGGAGGTTTTCCCTCAAAAATTCCCATCTGGAACCCTGAGATTTCCTTTTCTCTGGTGGGAGGTGGAGAATGAAATTGGATTTGTACTGGAGGCTTGGATAATCTTGGATTCGAGATTCCTGATGGATTGGAGGTGACCCCACTGGTTGTAGCAGTGATTTTAGGGTGATATTTCCCTTTTTTTTTTTTTTTTTCTGGTGCTCTGATAGGACAGGGATGAGGAGAAACCTGGAAATCTCTCCAGAGGTGGAAAAAAAAATCCCTGAAATCTCAGGAATTATTTTGGTTGGCAGCAGCTCAGCCTAATTTGGGTGCTGGGATTTCATTGTGGAAGTGACAGCACTGCAGGAGCTGGGATATCCATGATGGAATTTAATCAGGATTTGGGATCCTAAGAAAAATTATCCGTGTGATTTGGAAGGTCCAAAAATTAGAATTAGGGTTAAGGGGGTCCCATCAAAAAATCCCAGAATTATTGGGGTGGGAAGAAACCTTCAAGTTCATCTCCAGGGATGGAGCATCCCAGGGAACCATGGAAGAATTTCATCCTAAAAAAAAAAAAAATCATGAAATCATATCAGTTTTCTACCTGATATCTCATTTATTTCCACCCCAAAAAAAAACC